CTCGGGATACGCCCAGAGTCACGGAACGGATTAAGTTTGTATCCCGAGGTACCACTGTATCTTCCTTTTAGCAGCCTAAACACAGAACCCCCCAACTTTCACATTTTAAAACAGAACAAAGTACTGGAAAAGAGCCTTCCTTAGTATCCTTACCTTTTTTAATTGTAATATTAATTCTTTAATTGTTGGTTGTTTTTTATATTATTGTTTTTTAAAGAAAGTTATTGTGCGCCACCCGGAGTCGCAGTTTGTGAGATGGGCAGCTGTATAAATGTGACAAATAAATAAACAAATTTTGGTGCCTCCAGTGGTTTGAGATTACAATTCTTGTGTTTTTTTGGGAAATAGTCTAACAGCTGAAGGGTTGTAGGTTGCAAAGAAGAGACAAGCATACTGCTAGCACTATCCTGAGTAGAGGGCCCTGGGACTTTGCAACAAGAGCATTTGGGTAAAGGGCCCACTTATTTCTGCTTTTAGCTCACAAGGGCAGTAGTTCCATGTTGATAGCAAAATGCCAGCCATTTGTGAGAGGCAGGGTCCATGGAGAGAACTACCAAAATATTCACAACTACAAAAAAACTACCTCTAAAAACAGTTGAGTGTGAACTGACCATGATAAGCTGCAGTGGGAAGAGAGGGTGGCCTAGATGTATTTGGAAAAGGATGTTGGCTGAAGGCACGGGAGTATGTTCCACATTGCAATGGTGTCTGTGTTATTTTAAAAGTTAATCATCCTGGCTTGAATATTAACTCTTTATCCATCAATCCAATCATTTGTGTGTACAGAATGAGTTTTCCCACTACACCTTTATCTTTTCAACCCTTTGTGCCTCCCTCAAAATCTCTTATAGTTCAGAAGATGTGGAATGTGGGGTACAGGATGGGCCTGGCAGAAGCGATATGCACCAAGAACTAGTTAAGAGGCAGCCCTTCTTTACAGCTTGAACTAATTTAACATGCATTAAAGCTTTTTGATAATTAAAAAATCTTTACAATTATTGGTCATTGACCAGGTGAAAAAAATGTTTTTGACTGCTCAGGTGCCCAATCCTAATTGATCTATAGCCTTAGAAATATTATCTAGGTTTACATATTTTACTAAGCTATAGCGTGGTTTGGTTTTGACTTGACTTGTTCAGGGAACCCACCCATTGCTTTCTATTTGCATTGGAGTACAAATGCACTTTTTAATATAAAGACATATAGAGCCATTACTTCTAAAAAGATAGATAGTATCTATCTTGGCAAATTCTCTATTGCATTAAATTATGTTTTGTGGAGCCTGAATTTCAGACAGGTTGGTTCAAGAAAGCCGGATTTGTCCGTAAGACCTTCCAACTACAGAAAGAGAAAAATTGATTGAGCCATGGTAGCAGAAAAGTTGCTGCCAAGAAATGGACGTGTGTCTGATGACGTGGATTATTTCTGACACTGTGTTATTTCTATGTCTATATAATGTAATATTAAATATATCTATTTGAGCAGGAATCTAAAGATAAAAAATGTGCTTTTTATTTTAAAGTTCAAAGTTTCAAAAGACACAGAAATTGCATAAAGGTTGCATGGGCAAGCAGCTGATACCTTCTCGCTCTAATGGAAATTCGGGGCAGAATGGAAGTTGTCGGATCTTCTATCGTGTGACTTACACCTGGAACCGAGGTGGGAGGTTGAAAGAACTTCGCATTAGGTAAGAACTAAATTTGTGTTATGTGTTTATGGTCTGTTAGAAATGGGGGGGGGGGTATGCAGGAATTAGATCTGGAAATGCAACTAGTTTTAAAATGTGTTTCCTGCTTTATCCACCTAGGCAGTGTCTTTAAATGATCTATGTTTCAAGCATGAATCCCAGTAGCTGGGATATAAAAGTTACATCCCAGGAACATGGGATCAGAGAAAGGGACCTTTTGGTATCTAATCCAACCTCCTGCTCATGAAAGCATCCCCAGCTGGTGCCACAAAGTGTGAGCAGACTTGAGTGCTTTTTTGTGTTTTGAGAGTTTCAGAAAAAGAAAAGTGCATTGTTGTAATCTGTATCATCCTTTATGTACGAGCTGCTGCCAAGCCAGATTATGGTTATGTAGGGAACTGATTTAATATACTGTGGCTGGGTTCACCTATTGCATTCAGCTGAAAGTGGTTTAACTGTAGTTAAATTATAAAACTATGTTATAGTTGAAGGCCAGCATAAGTTTAACCATGTTTTGTGTAATCAGGTGCAGATGAAATTAATCCTTTTCAGCTGTAAGTCAGGGTTACAGATCACAGTGAGTGACTTCACACAACATGCTAAGCAAATCAGTTAGTGCAATGTGTGAATCAGGTCACAGCATCAGTTATATTGTCCTGCATCTCGAGAAGGAAGAAGAGTTTCCAATAGAAGAGAATATATATAGCTCAGGGCTGAACTGTGGAGTCCTTGGGATTCTCTGAGCTTAGTTGTTTTCTTGCAGACGTTTCATTACCTGGCTAGGTAACACCTTCAGTACCGTTCTAGCACTGAAAATGTTACCTAGCCGGGTAACAAAACATCTGGAAGAAAACAACCAAGCTCAGAGAATCCCAAGGACTCCACAAAGAAGAGTTGTACAGTAAAGTAAGAATTTGCTCCATTTTGGCTGCAGTTAGTAACATTTTGCTGTTCATATTGAAAAGATGCTTAAAGCCTCAACTGTGGCCTGTGGCCAGCTGGGAGAGGGTTGGAGTCTCAGGGCCAATGATTCCTGGACGGGATCTTGTTCAGTTCCATCTATTCCTAGAACTGGCGCTTGTTTTAAGATGGCTGTTGGCCTCTGTGAATTTACAGATTTGTTTAGCATCCTTGGCCATCTGGATATGGAAGGCTAGACTCTGAATGTTTGTAATAGATAAAGTGCAAGCCATCTCACAGCCCCACCTCCCACCACCAGTTCAGCTCTTCCTTGTAGCTGCTATGACTGTGTTAGAGAAAATGGAAGCTCTTAAAAAATAGGCTTGATGGCAGTCCCGGTTTATTTAGGGAAGACTGTGGGTGAACGTTTGTAGAGAAGAAAGGCCTGCTCAGAAGCATTGCTGTCTTTGTTTCCTAGACACCTGGCAAGGAAGTTTCTGTATCTGTGGAAGAAGAAGACATTTGGAAGAGTTCTGCCATCCAAAGCTAGGTAGAGAAAGCTTTTGGCTCAAATAAGAAAAACACACAGCAGAACCAGCCCAGTAGGAGTGGTTTATCTGGTCCCAAAGGCCTTGGCTGAGGTTTCTTTTTCTTCTGATGGTAACGCGATGTTTGCTGTTGTGTGTTTAACATCCGCAGCATGTAACTTTAGGGAAAGCCTGGGTCCTGGAAGTCTTTCCAGCCGCTGAAAAGGAGCTCTGCTCTGGGTCATGTGACGGAGGAGGAAGTGGGAGGGGGCTTAGAACCAAGCAGCTGCCAACATCCCGAGCCGCTGCCCGCCTGCAGGGAGGGGGGCTTCCAGGACTTTTCCCCCTCCAGACCCCCAGCCCCACCCAGCCTACTTTCACACTCGGTCCTTCCTTTGCCAGCTTCTCGCCCAGTACTGAATTTGGTCCAGTTTTTGGAGAGCTTTCTGCTGAAGGAGAGACAGGCAGAGTCCTCCGTCCCTTTACCTGTCTTTTCTCCCAACATCCCTTCCAGTTGGAAAGAACAAGAAGAAGGAGCTTCATGCCTTTTCGTACTCAGGGTGCTTCTCTTTAGGCCCCCCCGAACAGGCCTAAAGAGAAGTCCTGGCCTCTGGTCCTGGCCTTGGGCTGCGACTCCCAGCTGGTGGCCTGTTTTCTTTTTATGTTGGCTGCTCTGTGTGGCCAGGGAGGTGCCCTTTCCCTCTCCAGAATGGGAGAGCCAGGCCAGTTGGTGGAAGGGAGCCCCAGCCATTGGTCCGAGCTCTGGCGCTGGGAAAGACAGAGAAAGAGAACCCTGCTCTTCTGCTCCCTCCCTCCAGCAGTGAGCCAGCCCTCGAGGCCACGCTTTCCTAGCTTTTCCTAGAAAAGACGTACTTTTCTATTTCTAGCACTTCTGCCCCTGTAGGTGGACACACGTTAGATATTCTGTTTGCCTTGGAGCCCAGGGTTGAAGATCTAGACGTGGAGGGCATTTCCGCCAGCTCTTTGCCACAGCCATATGGCTTTCTGGGCTGGCTGAGTTTGGCTGGCACCAGGGCTTGCATAGGGCTGATCGGAAGGTCCGCCCTGGCGTCTCATGGGTCCAGATGACTCCCAGGCAGGGATGTATTTCTTAGCAACCTGGTGGGCAGTTCTCTGGAATGCCCGGTTAGCTCCATACGTCCTTCATATGGTTGCCCCAGTGCACACGCTATTTAAATTGCCATTCAGGGTTTTTCACTGTCTACTTTGTGTAGGTCCTATTTTGTTCAGAAGACACTGCAGAAAACCTTTGGAGAGTGGAAGGAGGAATGGTGGGTTCTTTGCAGAGAATGGAAGCTTATCATCAGAGCCGACTGCCATTACAGGTTTGTGCGAGAGACATTTTGATGCCCCGGCAGGACACGCTCTGTTATTTGGGCTGAGAATCCATTTGAACCTGTTAAAAATTGTGTTCATTTCCCAAGCTTACGTTTTCCTTCCCGCATCCTAACTAAAAAAAAATGGTTCCGTTTAGACATTGTATGAAACCATGACGTATGCTAACTATAGTTTAGATCCTAAACTGACTTGAGCCAGACAAACCAGCTTAGAGCTGTTTATTTGTGTTTATCTTCCATCTATTCAGCATTTGTCTTCTGGGTCTCTGGACATGAAGCCAAATATGAAATAATATTTTGAAATATTCAACTAAACCATAGTTAGTGAGTCCAGATCACAGGATTGGAAGTAGCTTGGCGTGCCTGGTCCTCTAGAAGTTTGGAATGCAGTTCCCCAAATCATTTGCCCTGAGATTGTGGAGTTGATGTGTAGACTCTCCAGTCAGCACCAGGATGCCTCCTCCAGTGTAGCTGCATGGGGGGGGGGGGTTCAGGTATTGCACCAAGTCAGGGCTTATTGGTAAATCACAATTGATTCAGTTGAGACAACACGCTAAGCTGTAAATTATGGTTTACAAAATGCAGTGACTGAATTACACAGAGTACCAAGCCAAAATCAAAGAAATCATGTTGTGACTTTGTTTGGATCCAATCCCATAGTTTGCGAAACCACTTGAAATTATAGTTACTAATTTTAGTTTGCGACTTCCATGGGTTGTGAATTTCCTTAATTAAACGGGTTTGGAAGCCTGAACTTGGACAGTCCAAGCCATGATTTGTTTAATGGTTCGTGCAATATGTTTCAAATAAGCATATCACTTTGCGGCACAGTATGATGCATGAACCTGGACAGTGTTTTGTGTGGCCGGTTTTTGTTTTAATAAAAACAGTTCAGAAGAGAAGGAAACTATGTTTATACCAAGGTTGTCTTCCCTAATTAGGGATTCATTTAAAAGTTAAATAGGACTTTCCATTGCAAGTCAAGAACTCAGAAAGGGGAGTTGGTACCTGCAGCTCTCCCTCAATTTCTTCTGATGGAGCTTCTGCTGACCGTGTTGCTGAATTTCAGTGGTCTGGTTGTCCAGAATGGGTGAAGTGGTTTCCTGCTCTTTGTTTTTTTTATAGTAATTTTATTAAAAGTTACAATTAAAAAGATAAAAACTAATACAAATGAAAAAAAAGGAATAAAAAGAAAAAAGAGAAAGTGCAGGAAAAAAATAGAAATAAAAATAAAAATAAGAAAAAGAAGAAAGTAAAGAAAAAGAAAAGAAATATATAAAGTATTTAAAATATATAAATATATAATATAAAATATAAAATATATAGCCATCCAGAGTAGCTTTGTGTGAGATGGACGGCTATATAAATGTGATATATAAATAAATAAAAATAAAGAAAGAAATGACTTCCCCCTTTATCACACACATAAAGAATTTTAGTAACTTATCACGTTCTCTTAAAATACAGCAAACAATTTCTTTTTCCCATATCCCATCTCTTATCTGTAAATAAATCCTTAAAGCCTTGTTGTTTCAGTCCTGATCAGCAAAAGTCCATT